TGCACATCCAGATCCCTTTTGCAAGTCTGAGAGCCACAGAGAGCACCCCTGTGTGCACCTCTGCAGACCATCAGCCCCAGGGCTCTCGTGGCCAATCACCTCACAGGAGAAAAGAGTCAGAAGAAGTCTGGTTTTCGTGGCTTGTAGACCTAGGAATAACAGGGTCTGGAAACCGTGGAGCTGCATCTCTAGTTTGCACACTGTTTTCTAGGGACAAAAGGCAGTAAGAAAATTCCCAGGATGGAGGCTGAACCAGCCCAAACCAGGAGGATCCTGACTTCCTGGGCAACACCAGCAAGGGCTCCTGCTTATGCAGAGAGAGCAGAGGCAGCTATTGATGGACAGCCCACAGAGGGGTCTGCCGAACAGGGTGGAAGGCCAACCAGCAAGCCACGTCACTTCACTGTCCCCATGGCCCAGTGGCCAGGGCCTGGTACGATGTCTGAAGTCACTGAGGATTTTCCTGCTTGTCTGATACAGTGGAAGACTCAGCTCAGAGTCCCAGAGGCTGGGCCAGGAGGGCGGGGCGCTCCCTCCTGCCTGAGCACAGCGGGGTAGAGGGAGCTTCTGTGGGAGCTGAGGCTCTCTTTACTGGGGTATCTTCCTACTCCTCTTTCTGTGGCCACAGACTGCATCTGCCTGGGTCACCCTGCACCAGAGTGTTCTTGGGAAGCTATATTTCCGTTGTCATCTTAAAATGTTTTTTGCCATGTTAAGAAAGGAAGAAGGACTCCAAATGGGTGAACAAGGAGAGAAAATCAAAGCAGTCGAGACCATCTGAATTGAGAAGAGCTCGGGTGCTCTGAGTTCTCCCGGTTCGTGTGTGTCGCCCGTTCTCTTCCAGGAACACACCTTGTATAGCGCTTCGTCTTTGTGGCAGTGCCTTTCACTAGCCCTGCGGCTGATGGGTTCTGAGGGCTTCCCATGCTAGTAAAGGCTGTTATGACGGGAAGGCACGCATGGCCCTGGGATCACGGTGACCACTTCTAGCAAGCCTGGCCCTGCACTGCGGCCATTGCTGCGTGTTTTGACTAATCCACGAGATTGAGCCTGAGAGTGGCTTTCTCCCCCACACCACAATCACACCTTTCAGAAGGGACAGCCACCAAGCATCACTTCAGAGGGACAGTTCCCAGTGTGGATGCTCAAGGGGTATGTTTGTACAAAGCAGCCAGTCAGTGAGGCGGGACTGTGTTTGTCCACCACTTGCATATTTTTCTGGACAAAATAGCCCATAGTTTTCCTCACTCCTCACGGGGTTTATGATCTCAAAATGTCTGAGAACTGATTATCTGTAGACTGTGGACCCTGGGCCTTTCCTTGCTGCAGCCAACAAGTTCTTCAATGATATCCAAATCGTAGTGGCTACAGGGGAAAGACCCTGGCTTCTGAGACAAGGATCCAGGAGAGTCTGTGGCTGCAGCCTCCACATGAGGATCTGGGGTCCCGTGGCCTCCTGGGCTTTGTCACCATCTGTGAAGTGCTACCTTTCAGCGCCCTGTGGGAGTGGCTCAGATGCTGAGCACAAGACACCTGCACATTCCAGCTGCTCCTGACAACTTCCATGAAGTGCCTGGATGGCTCTCAGCAGGCCCTCATGGAACCTGTCATCGGCATCTGAAGAAGGTGACGATGTGGTGGACGGGCACAAAGACAACCTCGATTCTCTGTCTCTAAAATAATTCCCAGTGGGGAAGGGACCCCTGAGATGGCTCAGGGGCCTTCCCTGCTCCACTGTGAGGGCACGTGACGTCTGCCTCCCCAGGCAGCAGGTTCTCCCCGACTTAGAAATTCACAGTGTGTCCGTGTCGGTCACTCTCATGGGCGCCCAGGTCTCTGGAGTTGAACAGCGCAAGCCTGGGATAGATGTGGGACCACTGGTCTGCCCATGAGAACTGTCAGGTGGAGTAGAGGGGACAGACTTCACAAACCCCATCCTATAGGCCCTGTCCTTCGCAGACTGCTGTCTGCTGCGTTTCCAGCAGTGGGGGCAGTCAAAAGGTCAATCATGGAGAATTTACTTAAGAACCCCAGTGAACTCAGAAGACTCCTCTTCCTATGAGTGAATAAAACCTGGGTCATGCGTCGGTTAGATGAGCAGCTGACAGGCGGCCAGTATGCTCCACACAGTGGTGAGGCGCACCCACTCCAATTGGTCTCAGTGTCACTCAGAATTATGACCAAGAAAGCTTTTGGAAGTCGCCGAACAACAAAGGGACATTCGATTAAGCCTGTACCTTGCACACTGTGGGAATATGGAAAATGGCTGACAATGAGCTCTCTGGCTAAACACCAATAAGCCAGGAATGATAATTAAATTATATCATGTCTGTGTTCAGAACACAAGCCTTTTGCAGTTTTTGCATAGTAAAAGTAACAGGAAAGTGAGTCAGTATTAGTGATGGAAGAGGGGACGTGAGCTGAGACCTGTGAGAAGAGCCAGTTCTGGGTCATTGATTTTTCTTGCTCCTCTTTATTGTGACTGATCAGTGGAAGAAATTTAAATTTTGGATCCATAGGCCACACTTTAAGATGGGCCTTTTGCCACCTCTTAATTTAAAATGTAGGCTATTTCCAAGAAAAGAGGACTTCTTTCTGTCCTGTGGGAACCCTCAGAAATCTTGAGGTGAAGCAGTGTGTGGTGTCAGCTGCTCAGGCCAGTAGTGGCTTCCTGGGAGACCTGAGCATGACAGACAGAAAAAACTATCTCCTGGTTTTAAATGAGTGTATTATTTTTCTCCACAAAAATGGAAACAATATCTCCCCGAATTCCACTTCAATGGTCTTTGAGAAAATGAAATTTGGCCTTCGATCCACATTAGTCTGTCCAGATTTTACAAGGTCTTTGAAGGCTCCAATCCTGCCTCATCTGTCAGCGTCTTGGACAAATACATTTCATTGATATTTCTGGAATTGCCAGAGGATTCTGGAGTCAACACATGAAGAATGCAGGAGTCTCGGACTCCAGGCCTGGAGAGTCAAGAAGCTTCCTTCTGCCATCTGTATCTCCAGGGGAAGTGAAGTGGATGGGTCAAAATTCTATATTGCGACATCTGGATTCTGTTCTGATGTCGAGGCTTAGGAGATCTGGCTGAGGCATTTTTCTCTTTTGCTTTTGTTCCTCATCTGTAAAACGGGAATGGCCAGGTCTACTTCTTGATTGCCACTTTGTAGCTGATGCAGGTAATAAATGCCGGTGCTCTCAGGCTTCTGAGTTCTGCAGAAAAGTGCAACATATCAGATAGCAGCAGCCCATGACTTGCAGCACTCTCAATAAAGTAGAAATGAAATCTTCAATAGCAAAGGATGTTTAAAGGAGGTATGTCAGCTCTGGGTGTACATTTTCTTCTTCAGATTATTTTAGAATCAGTGGTATGCAACATTTATTGATTGGTTTTATTTTTACTCTAACTTTTATTGACGTTGCCTCACATTGGTCCTTATTTACTTAATTGCTCACAGCTGCATGCTCACCTGTTTCTCTGGGCCCAAGAGCAATCCCTGAGGAGTTTTATTATAATTTCCTTCTGTGTCCTCAAACCAGCAGGAATGTGTTTAAGTGTTTAATAGATTCTTTGGGCTTTGGAATTTGAAGGAGACTTCTTAGAGGAGCCCTCCTGGGAAGGATCATTCCTCTGCCATCTTTCCTGGTCCCCGGCATCACTGCAGATGGCCGAGTGGACGCCTGCAGAAGTGCAGCCCCTCCAAGCAGCCAGTCTTGAACTTTCTGAGCCAGCCCCCTGCCCTCTGGTTCTTAGCGGTGAACCTGACGGCAGATGGCAGCTCAGATGCGGATTTGCTATTCTGTTCATTTCCCTAGAGCCCCTGACAAGTCAATTGATTCATTGTTCTCGAAAGTCTTCACTTTGTTGGCTTTCTGTGTGAGATGGAATTAGGGCCTTTTCCTGTAAAGTTACAAGCCAAGGCTTAAACTATTTCAGCAATGTTTTCTGCAGTGGATGTCTTCCAGAATCTGGGTGTGCAGACTTCTCTTGGTTTCCATCAAGTCTCCAGGGACAGGTTAACAGCCTCCACCACCCTGTGCTCCTTGCACAAACACCTGAAATGCTCCAAAAGAGCTGCTAAAAGCAGCACCTCTATCTATACAGTATGCCTAATCACAGTCCAATCACACTGGCCTAGGATTAAGGCTGCTGCTCAAGTCAGACCCTCCCAGATCTGTGTGTCCACCCCCTCCAGTGGATGATCCAGTGTAAAGATACTGCCCTGGTGTTGGGATATTTGTTCTCGGTTCCCTACTCTGGGAGCCAGTTGATCAGTCAGCACATTTGAGGGCCATTTCTGGTCTGCAGAAGGTGTCCTGGAGTTCCGAATTCAAGGAGAGCCACTGGGCTTGGTGGACTGGCCAAAGCTTCAGGCTCACCTTAGTGGATGAACAGGGCACAAGGGCTGGTCTGGAGTGGGCAGACTCGGCACTGGGGCAAGACTGCACATTGGTTACCTGGTTGTGCCCTGGAACTCTCCTTGGCTGGGCGCACATGTGGTTGTGAATGCACGCTTATATATGTGAGTGCATGTGCAACTAGTGTGAGCTCAAGAAAGCAGGCAAGAAAATACACTGGGGCGCTAGCCCACCCTGGTGGCCCCTCTCCCTCTCCTTTCAGCAGACTGCTCCCAGGGCAGTCCCTCTGTGGAGCGCGCTTCTGAGCCTAGCCCAGCTCTGCGGCCCGCGGGAGGAGGTGGGGCTGGGGGAGGAGAGGGGAGAGGGAAGGAAGAGGGCGGGGGTGGGGTGGGAGGGGGAGGATCCGGGAAGTTCTGAGGGTATTTGACAGGAGCGAGGGAAGCCGCAAAGTACTTGGAGGACCGCTCAGTGCCTGCAGCTGAGCTGGTCAAGTCCGGGCCCGGAGCGGTTGGAAGCGAGGACTGCGGAGGACTCGCGCTAGCCCAAGGCTCCCGGCCGCGGTGCCAGGCTCAGGACTCGGGGCTCAGGGCGCGGCCGCTCTCTGTGGGTCGTCCGCGCGGTCCCGCGCTGGGTCACCATGCTGCTGCCCCAGCTCTGCTGGCTGCCGCTGCTCGCGGGGCTGCTGTCGCCCGCGCCCGCGCAGAAGTTCTCAGCGCTCACGGTAAGCCCGGGACCTGGCAGTGCCGCCCGGCCGGGTCCCCACGCTCCCCTCCGGACGGAGACAAGGGGAGCAGGTGGCCTTCAGGGTGTTGGCGCCTCCGCCCGCGTGACTCCAGCAGGTGGGACCCAGACCCGTCCCGCCGCGTGCGTGTCCGCGCGGATGGCTCCCGGCTAATGCGGGCTCCCGAGTCCTCCCAGCTCCAGATGGGTGAGAGCTAGGGTGTCCGGCGTTTATGCACTCTCATGGGGCAGGGACTTGCGCGGGAACTAGGAGGGATGGGACGCAGGCGCCCTGCTGGCTGTCCCCAGGGCGACCCAGTGAGGACTCAGTCCACCTCACCCCGCAGGGATCTGGCCTGACTGCATTAGGCGGGTTTTTTTGGTAGGGAGCCCTGCAGATCCTGTGGCCACTCGCTGGGCTACGGGGGCGCGTCGAGGGCCCGACTACTGGGCCTGTCCCTCTTAGAGACCCTCTAAAGAAAGCAGGAAGAAGCAGATGACAGATATTCACTAAGTTCTACTAAAGGAGGGACAATAAGCTCTCTCCTCTCTTCTCAGGGTAGAAACGGGCCGGGAGGCGCTCTCTGCTCCAGCCGGGTCCTCTCCTCAGTGGCAAGATGCTGCGCACGGGCAGGCGCGATCCTGAGCGCATGGGGCACAGAGAAGGATCGCTCTGTTTGTCTCTCTTAGTTGCAGCCCTGGCGGGGCTGAGGCTCTCGGTGCCAAATGCCGAGCTGTGATGGGGGCTGAGCGGCGTCCGCAGCCGGCCAAACCAACTGCGGCTGGCTGCTCCGCCAAGGCCGGTTGTCTGCAGCGCCCAGCTCGGGCAGACCTCGTGCGCCTGCCATGCTTGCGAACCCATAATTAATGCAATCTGCAGAAACGAAAACATTCCACTTAAATGTGTTTTTGAACAAGTGCTTGAGAAAACACGGAGGTAGAGAGAAGGCCTGTGTGCAGAGGGGCTTCCAAGTGGCCAGGACAACTCGATGCAGAGGGTGTTTATCTTATGGAAAATAACTATGGTTAGCAGGAGCCGGTCCCTCTGCCCTTCAGTAAAGTAAAGGCAGTCCTGCGGTGTTTGCTTTTGCTTTCCTTTTCTTTTTCCACCCCCCTTCCCTCTCTCAGCAGTGTGAGGGGGAAGGAGTTAGTGAGTTCATTGTTCATACCTAAAATTCTTCTGGGGCGTCCTAGGTCCCTGCCTTGTGTCTCACAAATGACTTGTAGATTAGAAACCAGAGCTGTAGCTGGGAATTTCACACAGCCTTTCTCTGTAGCCCTCTGAGACCTCAGAAGGACCCTCAAGGAGTGCTGCTGTATGTACAAGCATGTAGATATGTTCCTATACATACATGTGCAGTTGGAATCACACAGACATACTGGTATGTATAAATACATCTTAAAGCCGGTTAAAGACAGTAGGGAAACTGAGGCCAATCCTCAAAATGAGATCATGGCATTTCTCCTGGAGCAGGAGCAGTAACTACCTGAAGTTGCCAGGGATTCTCTAAGTGTAGAATGTAGACATTCCTCCTGGCTGCCCTGTGGTGGGGGCCTGTTGGTTAGTAATTACAACAGTTTCAGGCTCAGTAGATTTTCTTGTCTTCTTGCTCCCTCCCCCTCTCAAAACTATTTGCTTTAAACCTCTTGCCCTTTGCCTCCTTGTGTAGCTCCAAGGATTTCCTGGGTTGCAGTGGTGCCAACTACATGTGGGGTCCTTGTGCAGGCGCTGAGCTTGCACCACGCAGGAAGTATCCCATTTACTTCCCAAGAACACTTTCTTAAAATCACAGTTGCGTGTAAAATGCTGTGCACCTCTCTTATCCAGGAAAATAGTTAAAGCTATAAAATCCTTGGCATCTCCTTCTCACCCCCCCTCCCCTAATCAAGAAAATCAAGAAATAGTTGGGTTTTGCAGAGTACTCAAGATTGAAAATTAACTGATCACTGGACATGTTGGATGTTCTGGATTTTTCTGTGGTAATGATCTCTTTTCAAATCACCTTCTGGTTTTTGGAAAATTCATTGGGGTCCTGAGGCTGCCTTCAGAGAGTGTCCTCCTCTCCAGGAGATTCATACCCTACCTCAGCCAACCTTGGAGGTGGTGTCAGTTCATAAACGTGCAAGGAAGTGACAGCCCAGTGTCTTGCTGGGTATCTCTAGGTGAGTTGCTTGACTTCCCTAACCTTTAGTTTCTCATCTGTGAAAAGGGGAGAGGTAATTATGTCTGTTTAGCCCCTTGTGGAGATTGCACATGGGGCGATTAACATGTATTATGAGTGTTCTTCTCCAGTCCATGTTGTTTTATACCCATGCCTCTGGCCCCTGGCAGAGAGTACTAAACACCGTCATCAATGCACATGTTGCCATGTGGTTAGAGTGGGTGGACGCTGAGGCTTTGGGGTATGTGTGAGCTTATCTGAGATGGGACTGCACAGGCGAAGGAGGAAGCCTGATTCTCTGCCTCCTTCCATTCCATCCATGACCTCATGGAGACAGCAAGGCCCAGGCCTCTCTTTTGGGGGTTCAAGTTTGCCATACCTGGGCTCCCAGGCTCTGTCCATGGCTTCCCTCCATAAGGTGGATGTGTTTGCTTTGTGGGCACAGCCTTGCTGACCTTGCCAGGGTGTGAGCACCCCATTCCCTTACGGTGAAGATTGAGCTCTACTGCTCTACTTGGTAATTACCCTTTCCCCCATCCAAATGATTCTTTAGAAACAGCACTGTGTGTCTGTCCCCATGTCTTCTTGGTGCTTTGTGTGACCTGGTCACTCTCAGACCTCGTTATTATTTCCATTGAGCAGCTGGCATTGGTAAGTGGATGTAAAACACCCTAATTTGGATCCTCATCTGTTTCTTCTTTGAAAAAGTAGGTGCATTCTAATGCCAGACCATGTGTATTTTTCTTCTTATTTCTATAAATGACAGAGACCAGGGAATCATTTCTATCATAAATTGTTTTGGTTAAATGTAATTACTTTCTTCAGGGAGCGAGCAGATGTGAGCACAGGTCCTCAACTTTGTCATGAATAGAGTTAGATGAGTTTGACAGATGGACCAGTGAATCCAGGTGTGTGTGAAGAATGACCTGACCTTTCCAGAGGCTTTGAGCTAGAGCCGTTGACGCATTTCAGAATAGACTGACTGGCATTTTACCCTGTACCGGGAGAGCTGGATATGTCTAGGCGTCCTTGTGTCTTTTTTTTTTTTTTTTTTTGAGAGAGGGAGAGAGGGAGAGATTGATTTTAATATTTATTTTTTAGTTTTCGGCAGATATAACATCTTTGTTTGTATGTGGTGCTGAGGATCGAACCCAGGCTGCACACATGCCAGGCGAGCGCGCTACCGCTTGAGCCACCTCCCCAGCCCCGTCCTTGTGTCTTTTTGTGTCACCAGTGGATGACACTCTCTAGGCTCCCATCCCAGTGCTCATTTAAAAAGCCGCAACTCCCTGTCCCAAGGGAGGAGGACTGAAGCTTTGAGAGGTTATCTCAGCCCTGCCTGCTCAGCTGGCCTATGCCTTTGAAAGTCAGCCTGATTCACTCTTTTTCCTCAGAGCGGGTGCCCTGCACTACCTTCAGGACTACAGGTCCCACCCTGCCTCCTTCACCACCACCTTGGAGGACTTCCAGCCTGAGCCACCAGTTCTGACCACAGAAGTGGTGCTGAGAAGGGGATGGGACCACAGGAAACCGTCAACTCACAAACCCATCTACATGACATGTAAACCCAGACATTTGGAAAAGTCACTTTAAATTTAAGATCATAATAAATCAAAAATAAAATCATAAGATCATAATAGATCATAAATAAACTAAAGGCTGACCTGTGGGGTCAGCCTATAGTAAGTACCTGCCATTGGTCTGGGAAACTGTGTATCACCTGTGCTGAAATGGACATTCTGTACTCCTGATAGTATTTGTTTGCATTGAGAGAGAAGGAAAATAGTATTTGACACAGATGAATTTAGAAGAAAATCCAGTTGTCCCCAGTCCATGAGAGGGCCTAAAACTGATCATCCTGAAATGTCAGAAACAGAATTGCCTTTCCGTTCCCCAGCAGTTAGGTCACGTGGTAGCCACCATCTGTTTTGGTGCTGTTCACGTTCAACACTGGGCTGAACAGGCAATGGTGTGTCTTCTCCCCTCCCATGGAGGAGTTCAAGGCTCTGAAGATGACCACAGAGGTGGTGCTGAGAAGGGGATGGGACCACAGGAAACCGTCAACTCACAAACCCATCTATGTGACATGTAAACCCAGACATTTGGAAAAGTCACTTTAATTTTAAGATCATAATAAATAAATAAAACCATAAGCAATGTTGATTCTCACAAGATGGTGAGTCCCCTGTTGTGAAGGCTCAGGACAGAACAGATTTCTAAGCTGTTCTGCATCCAAACAAGACTTATGACAATCCAGAGCTGTAGGAGGCTGTGGCTCAGACGGGCAGTAGCCTAGAGCTGACAGGGCAGGGTGTATGTGGCTGTGGTGGAGGCGGGCAGGGGTGGAGAGTGTGGGGGTGCACAGTTCTCTGAGTAAAGAGGCTCACGGTTCCACTTGTGCACCACTTCACACACTCATGATGATGACTTCCCATTAGGATTGTGAGTTGAGAAGAGAATTAAGGGTGGTGTTCAGTTATGTGTGATTCATCTGTAGGAGAAAAACTGCTTCCTTAGGCTCCCCTATCGATGGTGACGCCCTGAGTCCCTCAGTGTTCACTGTGTGACTTTTGATGACAGTTCACATATTGAGTTCTCACCTCCATCCCACAGAATGAAAAACTTCAGAACATGAATTAGTATTTTGTTGAGTCCTGATTTCATATGGCTAAAAAGAATTTAAAAGCAAAACTCAGACATTCTTTTGTGGTGTCACAGTGCCAGGCAAAGAATAAAAAAGCAAAGGTTGTAATAAAACCAAGTAAAATGTGAACTGACTTTTGTATTTTCAGGATTAAAAAAAAAATAAGTGGGAATATTCTGGATCACTCTGTGGCCA